CATATATTCACTTTTCAGACATGTGCATTTATGATCTTAAAATTAGCCATGTGGAAGAAAACTAGAATGGAAATTGGACAACATGCTCATCTAAAAGATAAAATTCAAAATCAATGATAGGATAAAACTTAAAAAATGAGTTTAAAATTATATAATATTTTAAAATTTTATTTATAATAAAAAGGAGGTCTCTTTTTATTTTTCCCTTGAGAGAAAGAATAGTTTAAATTCACATAAATTTATTTCTAAATATTATTATGAGGAGTACCACAACAATAATGAGACATGATTACACAACCAATTCTGGTAGAACAACTTAACAATTATGCATTAAATAATAAATGTTGGTACAGTATTGTTTCCTAATCTATTGGCGACGTTTGTAAAATCTAAGTCAAGTTTTGACAACATTATGAAAAAAAATAAAATATAGGTACCATTTTATAATCATTCCTTCCAAAAATTTTAGTTTATTTTTCACTTTTATTAAAATCACAGTTGAACTCTTAGCTAAATTTTAAAAAAAAAAATCCAAAGAAAACAAAGACAAAGTTTTTAAAAAACTAATTTCTTTTTTGCTTTCAAATTTTGATAATAAAATAGAGAAATAGTGTTTGTAAGCTAAATTTTAATTTTAGGAATAGAAAATAAAAAAAAAACAAAATAGTTATCATTTTTTAAAAACTTGTTTTTTTATTTTTAAAATATGACTAATAATTCAAATGTATTTTTTATAAAAATGCTAATAATCTACCAAAAAAAAAGGTGAGAAGAGGTAGGAATACTTTTTCAAAACATAAAACTAAAAGCAATAAATTTTGTTAATTAGCTTCAAAATTTGGCTAGGATTTTGAAAATATAAAAAACATCATAATTAAACTAAAAATCACATAATAATTAATTGTTTTTAATATTGAAGCAAAATGATTTTATTCAATGCGTTTGGATATTGTGCATGTGCAACTTGCTACCAAATTTTCCTGTTAATCATCTTTAAATTTTTCACATAAAAACAATTCTCATTCATTTCTGGTTTCATTTAATATTACCACCCACTATATGTACTAATCTCAATAATAAATGAGAGTACTAATAAATAATAATAATAATAACAATAAATATGAGAAAAGACTTTTATATCGAATAAAAAGATGAGGTAACTTTTCAATCAAAAAGCTTTTAGTTTCGATCATAAAGGAAGCTTTTTTTGGGAATTGTTTGATCCATCTTTTTTGAAAAACAATTCCTATAAATTGTTTTCAGACTAAATATTCAAATCTTTACCTTCAAATATATAATGTTATATTCTTTCATTTAGAAAGATTGTTCAAGAATTATTATAAACCATTTTTAGCATCTCGAAATTCAAAAGTTGTTTTGGAAAATCATTTTTATTCACAAAATTTTATTTGAATTAACTGCAAAATATAATGATACTAAAATATACTTTTAATACTTGGGATATAGTAACAATTTGGGCTGTATACTTATTTTTATAACGATTTAATTGATGTATTTACACCAAAAAAAATGTAAGGATTTAATTCTTAACATAAAAAAATGGTTGTAATTTTTTTGACAAAAGAAAAGAACATTTTTTTGTTGTAATAAATCAGTTAAAATAGTTAACTACCTTTGATTTTGAATCCTAAGAAGTGACTTCATTCACTTGACCATATAGTTATTTTTCAATTATTTTTTCTATGAAAATTTTAACTTAAAAGGACTTATATATTGTTGCATTTCTTGAAGTACATAAAAACTAAATCTTACAAATAAAAATATGAGGCCTAAAACATTATATACTTGTTATATAAGAACTAATTAATAGTAGTACTTCTAAAAAAAAAAAAATTAATAGCAGTAGAATTTAACATTTTATAAAAATTTTCTTCTAAAATGGCAAATAATTGTATGTGTATATACCATTTCAAAAGTAAAAGTTGATCATAATTATACTACAATTATTTCTTATATAATAGTTGTAATGGGAACATAGACGTACCTTCCACCAATTTTAGTATAGTTCAACTAGTTAGAGTACTTATTTCCGATAAAAAAGTCTAAGGTCGGATCCCCACCCTTCTTTTAAAAGAATTCTTTCACTAAGATTTTCAAACCAAAATATGCTTATCGTGGAGCAATTATAGGTTGATGATATCTATAAAAACTTTCCTATAGAGTGAGAATAACATAACTTGAAAAACCCTCATCGATCATAACAAATTTGATTTTTGTCGATGAAAGCTTTCATTGCATTAAACAAAAAAAACAAAAAACAAAACAAAACTTCCACAAAATCCTACTCTTGACGAAAATTTTTTGTCCATAATATCGTCACAATTAGATCATCGAAACATAGGTCATTGTCATTTGTCGATTGGCAAGACTGGCATATGATATGGCTTATATCTATTTAGCGTAGGCTCTTTAGGTTACTTGTTAAATATGAGATCCTCCATGTGACAACTATTCCCATACAATTAAAATAATCAAATAATTAATTTTATAATAAATTATAAAGGTTTAAAGCATAAATCCCAATATATATCTACACTTCGTTAGGTAAATAAGAAAAAAATGTACTTATCTTAAGTTTCGTTTAAAAAATATAAAAGATTAAAATAAACACTATAATTTAGGGAACAAAGTAAAAAGGGAAATTTTGACATTACTCTCTAAGTCTCACCTAAGAATTGAGGAAAGTAAACTTTATTAAAATAAACACTATAATTTAAGTGTTTACTTCCCTCGATACTTATCTTTTCTCTTTCCCTTTTTTTTTTTTTCAATTAACTAGAATTTTATTCAATGTACCTTATTTCTAAAGGAATGTTCAATTAAAAAAGAAAAAAAAAGTTTTCGGTTATTTGAGAATTTCGTTTTAATTGCATCAATTAAAGGGGAAAAAAAGTCTTGTTAAACTGTGCACACGTGGTGGTTGTGCAATAGCACAATCCAATAATTAAATAGCTAGATAACATTTAATTTTAAGCTCTAATCTTAAATAATTTATGTGGTCCCACGTTTAAAGAGTTTTTTTTTTCAAGTTCAACAACATATAATATAATAATGTAGCTTTGGAAATTCGATCTTTTCATTGAATATATATACTTTACTATACTAACTAGTACAATTAATCTGATTGTTGATTTGGTCGTTATTGTTTAGGATATAAGGTGATTAATATTGAAGATTATAATCCATCAATGGTTCACAATGTCTTTTAGTACAAGTGTGGGGTGGAGAGTAAAAAAAAAAAGTGTGGGTGGAGATTTTGAAATTTTGAACTTATGGAAAGGTCGGAGGTATAAGTGCCTTAAGTATTACATTAAGCTATCGTTAGGTTGATATTTTAGGATCTTCTATCGCAAAAATAGGAGGTTAAATATATGTTTTAATTTATAATATTTAGGTATTTTGAATTAGTCCCTATTGTTTTAAAAGTTTTAATTTAGTCCTTTATGTTTTTGTATTTTTTAATTTGGTCTCCAATTAATGGGTAAATGTTAAAATTGGCTAATAAAAAATTTACCTGACATAATACTTAATTAATTAGTAGAAATTTAGACGAGAAAAAAGTTCGTCAAGAGAATGAAAATTCAAAATTTACATTAATTTTCTACAAATTTGGAAGATGAATTAGAAATTTTCCTCTCTTATATGAATTTTTTCCTTTACATTTTTGCTAATTCACTTGGTGTATTATGTCGCATAAATTTGTCGTAATTAAGCTAATTTTAAATATTACCAATAATGAGGGACTATATTAAAAAATGTAAAAACATAAGGGGCTAAATTAAAAATTTTTAAACAATAGAGTCCCTAAAACATATATTAAAAAAAGAAAAAGAAAAGCCTACATCTTTGATAGTAATTCTTTGGGGAGAGAAATTGACATGTCACGTGGAGGACGCTAATACGCCCAAAAAAGAGATATAAATTGTTTAGGCAGCTCCACTTCGAACCTTTCGAGGTGGAAGACTTAGCCGTTTTCCTTTGATTAATTACATGCAGACAATCGACCTTTTCAGGTGCGATCTGAGTGGCTCGACAGGTTTGACCTCCATTCTGACCACGATAACCGCCTGTCGCGAGATCTGTCAGATCCCACACCTATAAATAGAGGGCCTCATTCTTACCCCAGGTATAGAATTTCTCCTCAAACCTATTATTGAGTTTGAGCTGTTTACTGACTTAAGCGTCGGAGATTTTGCCCTCTTGTGCAGGTTTTTCCATTGTGCTTAGAGTTAGGCGAGGACCGAGTCCGACCTTGACCAAAGTTTGACCTTATTCGTTTTCTCGCATAAACAGTAATCAAACTTCATCAATTCATTCGAGCATAAATCAAGTGATTGGAAGTACTGCCTAAGAGTGTCAACTGGGCGAGGTAGGGACCACTCCATCTCCGTGATATTTCCAATGAAAATTTGCAAGGATTGGAGCAAAATTCCTCGCGAGGACAACATTCCTTTGAAATGAATACTAATATTTATAGAATCTATCTCAAAACTAATTGATAATGAGTGGAGTAGCATACTTATATTATTAATTCTGGTTAGGTTATTTATCCTTTTAAGGGAGAAATTTACTATTACTATTGTAAATGAAAATACAAAAGAAATTAAAGAAGACGCAGTCCCCTCTTAGTTCATATATAAATATACACGTAAAAGAAGTAAAGATTTTAAAGATTTCTCTCAAATTCGTCCTCCTTGAACTAAAAAATTTAACATAAAGTTTAAGTTTGCTCGTATACCAGTCATGAAGGTCTTCAGGTTGAAGATTTGGGTCTGCATATGGCAGTAAAAGCTTTTTGATATCCAGAACATCAGCTAACAAAAGAGAGAAAATTAAACAATTCAATATGCTCAACCTTTCTGCTTAAATTTTTAAGTTGAATCGTGATTTAAACATGGTACTAAAATAGGAAGTCTCGTTATTCTCGAACTCCTACAGTTTTATTTTTCCTTGCTCCCCAATTAATATTTATAGACACTTAGTTGCATTTTGTGCTCATTTTGATTCTCACAAGGGAGAAGGGCTTAAACTTTTGTTTTGAGTGGGGAGTGGTGACTTAAATGGACCGTGAGCATTTTGAATGAGATTTAAAAAGAGATGAATCAAAGCTAAAGAAACGTTTGTTTTTACCTACAAGATCGGGAAATCCTTATCGAAGGGTGGATAGTTGGACTTCGCTATCGAGACGAGATCGTTGTTGTTGCCTATATCCACAATTTAATCCCCAAAGACAAAAACCGCTAGAACTGAATAACCAGGATGAATCTTGACGACAATAGAAGTAGCTTGGAGATGTAGAAGAACTTGCACACATAGAGAAATAGCAAGTTTTAGTGAAGAAGATCGTTTTGCTAGTTGGAGTAGAGGCATTGTTAACTCCCAACGCACTTCAAACCTGTAGTAACATAAAATCTCTTTCCCAACTCAGAAAATTATTTGAAGGATTAACTTTGTAGCATTTGATGTATGTGAAAGATTAAAAACATACTATGTTTTAACCATTCATCGAATAACTTATCATCAAAACTCTCACAGCAAATCCAGACCCCTGATAAGAGACTGATTTCGTCTCCAGATCAGACAAAGAGCATCAATTCCCAACATAACAGAACAGAACCAGTTTCAACAAAACAAAATTAGAAAAACAATAGACGATATAGATTCAAGTTTGAGGAAGGCAAAAGTTGATGGCTTCTTATTGAATGTATTCACAAATCTGATGATATTTTCTGCAATAAACTAAAGGAAAATACCGAGGACGTGAAACTGCTACCAAAATCAGAGGTCAAGCTGGTGAACTCCCATTTTGGTGGTCTCTGAATGTGACCATATCCCCAATAAATATGGCTGTGGAAGTAGAAATCTACCAAACTGTTGATGATTTTAGAAGCTCAACTTTTAAGCACTTGATTCAGGATTACCACATCCATAACAAATGGATTCCATTTCTCTCTTTCCTTTTACCTTCTCATTTTCAGAGCAACCAGTCCCAATTCCTTTTCTATATCCCAAATCTCGTCCTGGAGAAAGATTAGAAACCCAATGATTTTTACGAGTAGAAGACCTTCTCAATCGATTCAAATCAAGAACAAAAACAAAGAGCTGATCAGAACGTCGAATTCGTTTGCAATAGCAGATGAGATCATAAAGACCGTATAATAGATCACGATTGATCTCCACCATGTTGTTTCTTATCAATCTCCTGCATCTGCTTCTCAGCAAGCTTGTCAAGAGCCGACTGCACAGCATCACGCCCACCAATGAGCAGCCGGGTCACAACTTCTGGATCAGACTCATACCGGGCTTCCTCAAATTCCTTTCGTGCATTCTCCCTGAGAACATCTCGCCACAGGACACCTCGAGAATCTGGCCACATAAAGAATCGAGTCGCACGGATGATGTCTCGGTAGAGACTTAGAGCCTCACGCCGAGTGCTGGTGAGGTGTCGCTGAGTTATCAATTCATCATCTTCATCATTAAAGGACTTTTCTTTCTTAACCACATGTCTGTCTAAAAGTTCATCAATCGTGTCTGGACCGTTATGCAAAACTCGAGGGTGGAAACCAATTTTGTTGCAAGCCAAAAAATGCTTATGAATTGACAGATTTAGGCATTTTCCCACCAACCTGATGGTCATCTCTGCTCCACTGCATGGGTCAACTCGACAATTTAAATATTTCCCTTTCAGCTCAATGGGATGATAACAAACGATTAACTTACGATCTGGTCTGCATGTGGACAGCAATCTCGATCAACTGCCCTCTTGATTCTTAACAGCCTTACTATAGCCCTTACGGATGCCTCAATGCACGACTCGTGTACTTTCCTGACTCATGTACTTTCCTGCAAAGTACCAAGTAAAAATATCATAGGAAGTCAAAAACAGTGAAAAGGAAAGTACTATCAGACCACCATTAACCATCAAAGAAAATTGATTTTAAAAAGTGCACCAAAAATGGTTTATACAAATTCTAAGAAAGATATACAGAAACGTTTTCTGCTCCTGCAATAAAAAAGCCATATGAAGTCTGTTAGAAATATATAAATGAATTAAATTTACCCAACCCATCACCTTAAACTTTTGGGTTGAGTGGTGGTTCATTCATCATTTACATGGTATCAGAACAGGAGGTCCTGTGTTCTAACCCTGCATGCTTAAGCTTTTGGGTACGAACCCATGAATTTCACGATATCTATGAAATTCCATCTTGAAATATATAGAAAGCACAAACTCAATCAAACCATTTTAGCAAAATAGATCAACTCTTCATGAAAGCATTACTTTGTAAATGACATTTAATCCAAAATAAAGGAGGGCGAAACACCCTAACAACTACAACTGTGCATAATTTAACAACTCTGCAAAAGAAATATGAAAACGGTAGGTTGGATGAGATGTATATAGCCAACTTTATTTTTCTTTTCTTTCCCTTTTTTTTTATAAGAAACAAAGGAAATGTATTCAAGAACAGGTTGAGAACCCTCCCCAAAGAACTATACAATCACGGATTTCCAAACATAATCAAAATAAGACCATAGTTACAAAAACTAAGAGCCAGAATCATTAAACTCAGAAATCTCAACTCCTAAAAACTAAGAACCAGAATCATTAAACTAAAAAATCTCAACTCCCAAGTTTAATACTCCTCGTTTCCTCAATAAAACGCATACCAACATCATCTCATCTCATCTCATGGAAGTAAACAACAAAACAAAAGCAAATACAGCCTAAAACTCGCACACATCCATATTCCATAAGATAACAGAAAGAAACACGTGCTTCTAATCAAGCAGCGGTCGTCAGAATCAGTTCGAAGCAAAAGCGATATAGTGTTAGGAACTGGAATCTTACCCGTTCAAGCTGAGAACTCAATCGATTCGTTCGAAGTGGAAAAGTCAAATTGAGAATTCAATTCCAATGGAAAAAGACAGAGGATGTGGACTTCTTCCTCCGGCTTCTCTCTATAACGTAAAAACAAAAACAATAAATTAAAATTTAACAAGAACAGTTCCAATTTCCCTGTTCGGATGGATGGAAAGTGAATTTTCTTACCTTTAGGTTTTCGGCCGCCGGCGCCGGAGCGAAGAGCTTGACGGCAAGAGATAGTGAAGGGGTGCGTCGCCGGCTGGACGGCGAGAGAGAGAAACGGGATCAAGCGGCGAAAGGGAGAGGGAGGGAACGAACGAGCGGCATGAAAGGAAAAACTGAAGAGACCCTCGTGTATGTCCGAGACTCGAACCGACCCGAATCGAAAACCGCCGGTCGCTTCGAACTATTAAGTGCCGTTGAATGAACCGTTCGGTCGGTCCGATTTACAGAAGGTCTCGGCTTTTCCACCCTCACATAAATCATTTGGTAAGAGATAGGTAGCTTAACTTTGTACTATGCTTAATTTGAGATTTATTGAATTGTTTATGAATTACGAAATTTTTAGATTTGGAGGATCCATCTACTTTTGACTTTAGTTTAAAGTTATTTGCTGTAATTTCAATTTTAGTTTATTTTTGTTGCTATGCTTTTATAATATTTGTTTTGTTTCCTATACTTTTAAAAATAGATGATTTTGGTCTCTTAATTTTATTTTTTAATCTCATCTTTTTATCATAATTTGAACACGGTACTAAATTTAATATATTTTTTAAAATATAATAATGTTATCAATTTTTCAATAGAAGAATGACAAGATTGATCAAATATTTTTTTTATTATGTGTACATCGTGGATGTGATCTAAATATAGATTCTAGGAATAATGATATTTTTTTATAGGAAGGATAAGTTATTAATCCCACTAAAAATTTGACAACTATTTGACCAATTAACAATCATTATTCCCGACATTCTTATGTTGTCAGAGGATCTCACAGTTACTAGCAAAAAAATATGTTCAGTGACATGTACGGCAGAGCTTCGATTCCCCGTACTCCCCTTACACTAACTCATACTCATACTTGGTTCAAACTTATTTCAAAATGCAATGCAAAGTTGTGTTATAGAGTAGAAACACACAAGTTTTTTAATCGATTAGAGACAACAAACAAGTATTGAATTAGGATAAATTAAAAGTTTCAGCGGCAGCAATTAAAGGGATCATAATTACGTCGAAACCGCAAATGTATAACAAGTGATCACATAAGAAAGTCTGAACAAGGTACTCCCAAAATCAAAATCATGTATTCGAATTTCGAACTAAAAATACAGCTCTTCCAGTTCCGGGGGCAATCAATTGATTTTTAATAAGTAACGCGAACCCCTTGGTATCTAAGAATCTCGCCGATGAGCTCCCCCTTGCCGGAGCCGACGTACCTGCCCTTGATCTCGCCGTCTCTGATGAACAGAAACGTGGGCACCTCCACCACCTCCATGTCCTTCAGGAACCGCATACAGCTGTCGTTCTCGTCGCCGTTCATCCGCGCGAACACCACCGTGT